AACAGATCTATGCATTCACTGATGAGAAATACGGAAAAAGCTCATGTAGATAAAAACAACGTGGCTGTGCGCTGTGCATTGTTATATTTTGCTGTTTTATTGCGCCACAGAAAGCAACACATGTTTAACACGTGCGTAAATTATTGTAACGATTGCAATTTGAGATATATGTTGGCGTCGTGTACGATTCGTCAAAATGTTAAACAATACCGCGTTGTTTTTACAGTTCTGCTGTTTATGATCGTCGGCGTTACTGTTAAACTTCGTTACTGGTTGCGATCATATTTATGCAAACAAAAGCGAAAAATGCGTTCTTTGTGGACATCACATAGCCGTATATATCATCACACGGAACGAAACGCGCAAGGTGGCGGTGTATTATACAATTCAAACGTTAGACAGTTAGGCGCAATTTATTCCTTGCGCATAGCATTTTCACGTAGCCGTCGAAAGTTTTAGATTGAAGCTAAAGATATCATATCCACAGCAACTAGCGATAACCTTTTTAATTTTTAATTATAAGGATATGTGTCGGATAAGGACGTTGTGTCGATGACGCCTCTTGAAGTGGAGTTAACATTGGCATTAAGCCAATTAATTATGAGCATATGAAAACAGAGAGGAAGAAAGATAGAGAGCTCTGACGATATGATTTATTTGCGTTGCTGATATTTAAAAATTAGATCGTGGATATGCATTCCAGAGCTCGAGAGACTAAACACATCCATCAACACAATTTAAACAGAAGATGCTTGTATTAGTTGTTACGTCTAAAGTAGTTATGAACACACAAAATTGTGACAATTCGTAGTTGATATTAAGAATGTGTGATTCCAATCCGATTCTTGAGAAAATCAATTTTTTCTTACAGAAATCGATGTTTCTTAATCGATACTGACACGAATCGATTGTTTTGAGGAAGAATCGATTCTTGATTTGTTGATATACCCAATCGTTGATTTTGTTATACTTTATACGGAAGTCACACTGTTTTTATCCAATTAAGATATTACTTTAGATTTGTGTAAGAATTATGGAAAGAATTATGGATGGCATTATGGAAGAATTATACAAGTAATAATAAATGTAGCTGTAAGCCAAATTAGAATTTCCACGAAGAACTAGGATTTCAGCTGGTCTAGTCATTTTGGCTTAAATGTTGTCTTTCTTGACAAGATATAACATGATTAACATTGGAATTATTAGATATATTAGATTTATATAGAAAAAAGGGTTTATCTTTTTATTGTACGATTTTTCATTTCAATATTTAGCAAATTGATTCCTTTAAGCCTTCAAGTGATATATCTAGAAAAGTGCTAATATATTAAATTTCTTTCGATTTACTTAAATTATATTGTACTTTTTAACTCGTAGCAAATACAAATTATATATATTTTGTATACTGTTCTTAAAAATTCTAAAATTTAAAAAAAAAACTGGCAATAAAGAGAAAAGAAATGTATATGTTTGTTAAAGAAAAAATTTACCTTGAAGGGAATAGCACAGCCAATTTAAATCACCACTGAAGAGATTATTTCGATTTATATAGTAAACAGATTTTAGTTATTTTGATTCCATGTCGACTCAAGAATCGTTTTTTTTTATTAAAGAATCGCCAATATCTAGTTGATATTGTTATCTATTGTTTTGAGAAACAAGCATCGTGGATATGCATTCCACGATCTAATTTTTAAATATCAGCAACACAAATAAATCATATCGTCAGAGCTCTCTATCTTTCTTCCTCTCTGTTTTCATATGCTCATAATTAATTGGCTTAATGCCAATAACAAAGCCTTATTGAGAAAAACAACTTCGTAGAAAAAAGAAATACGTATAATATCGTCTATATCTTCGTTTACATGCTTAATTATGAATAATTAATGCGCGCAAAAAGAGTGACAATCGAAGATCAATGAAGATACTGGTTGCCGAGCTGAGAATTAGAATCATGGAGATTTGCTGCGGTGACAATCATGAAGTCATTACACGGTAACAGGTTTTCCATTTTTTCTCATTTACTACGATGGTAATTGATTGAAAAGGAAAGGAAATACCGGGAGCCGTATCTATGTCATTAACTATTAACTACACCATTACTCATAACATTTATGTTGTGGTTGACGGTGATTTACATTAATCATTCTCACCAACTTGACATTACCGTGAATGGTATGTTATTTGGCGGATCTAATACAATTCTCCGCTCATGTAAACTTTGCGATTTTCTGCGCGTAAAATACGCGAAACGAGTAACACCGGATTTTCGTAAAATTACAAACTTACAGACAAATTTCTTGGAAATCGTGATTCGTATTACCGTAATTCGTACCATTCTAATTCTGTTCAGTAATGCATGCTTAGCGTTCAATTATCTGAGAATGTTCCGCAGCGATTCTTTCGATTAAGGACTTGTCATGCAAGAGCAATTCGCGATAAAGTTTATAAATAAATGCAACTAAATTCTAATTATACAGTTAAATTCCTCCCTTTTTATAAGTAGTTACAAAATTCGTTGTGTCGTCATTCGCGATACGACACGAGAAAGTCAAACGAGACAATCATCGAGATATACTGAGAAAAAAATGGTTAATCTCACTAAAAATAATTGTTATTTTTTGCACCGATATCTTATCTTATAATATCTTCTTGTTGTTCTAACAAAAAAGTATAGCAGTAACAATATGCACGTAAGATTATTACCACTAATATTATGTAATATTTACTACAAAAAAATATTTCTGATAATAATGTTTTTATTATATGATTATACACTGAGAGAAATAAAAATATCTAAAAAATAAAAATATTAATTTTTATTGGTATTAATAACATATTTACTTAAATCTAAGGCTCTTTAAGAAAATGTATATTTTTTTATGAAAAATATTTATTATGTATATTTTTTTTTGAAAAATATTTTATATTAGTATAAATATAAATATGCTATTACCCACTGAATAAATATTCTTTCTTATTTCTTAAATATTTCTTTTTTCGGAATAACAATAAATGCCAAACACTTTTCTCTCAGTGAATGAACGCCGACCTGTATCAGGATGCTATTTCCAAAAATGCGTTTCTCCGATCCACAAGAGTAATATCTATAGCTATCCGCGATTTTCTCGCAACTACCCCGAGACGCCCTTTTCAAGTCGTGCGTAGGGCAAGGGAGGGAAAGGAAGACGATGAAGTTCCTAACTTAGAGCTGGGTCAGGTAGAGGAAAAAGGTGACCGCCAGAACGAGGAGAGGCGGAGAAGAATCCGCAACTTTCCTCGGGGGTTGCTATCGCGGGCTGCCAGGTGATTCACCCTCGCGAACTTTGAGCAGCTGTCTTTTACTTGTTATCCATCGTCGATCTTCGCGTCGGTATTGGATCGGCGGGTCATTACGGCTCGCATCTTGCGTTACGTGGAACAGCGTGACCAGATGTTAGCTATTGTGCGTACATTGCGTTGCATACGTACGTGCACTGATAGCGATATCCGGTTATACCTGTAATAATTAAGATCTCCAAAACGTGCGCGATGGATTAAGATTGATCCTACGGAGAGAGAGCCGTCGTATTCTCTCACTAATCTTTTCGCAGGGCTTATTATCTTAATAGTGACTTTCGCCACACACACAGAAATAACGATTGACTGCGAAAAAAGATTGACTGATTGTTTGATTGATCGATTGACTGATTGATTGGTCGTTCATTTATCGTTTTAGAACAGTCCCCTAAGAACGTGAATACAATTATAAAAAAAAGTCTTAAGACATTATATATAATTTATATTTACACATGCAAAAAAACGTAAATATTTTAATGGAAGAAAAACGACTGTAGTAAATGTACTCATGCTTAAATTTAATATAAAAGAAACTCTTACGTACTCTAAACAGTACTATTAGAGTATTAGAGTAACTTTGTACTTATATTACTTTGTAGCAGAAGATTTTTTATCAGCCAATGTTAAACTTTATAATAAATTCCTAAATGGACGAATGTTTTGTGGAAATGAGTCCCATATTGTGTTTGCTGAAACTAGCAATGACTTATAATATATACAAAGAATAAAGAAAGAGAGAAAGAGAGAGAGTTAAATTTTTGAAACGTTTCACGAAATATCTCGTCGAAATTTCAGGGCTAGGTCTGGGACCGCACACGCCGGAAGAAGCTGCTGTCCTGGCGGCCGCCGCGGCAGCATTACATCACCACCATCAAGGCCCCGGCGGCCCTGCGATGAGGCCTCTGAGGCCACCGCTGCCACCGGGGATGCTCCACGCATCGCCCCATCCCTTGGCCACGCATCACCCTCTCGCAGCACCGCATCATCCCCTTGTGCCGCCTCACCATCCAGAGGAGGACGGCGTCGTCGACGACCCGAAGGTCACGCTCGAGGGCAAGGAGCTCTGGGAGAAATTCCACAAGCTCGGAACGGAAATGGTCATCACGAAGAGTGGCCGGTAAGTGTCAACGTCGTCGTCGTCGACGACGGCCGCCGTCGTCGGCGTCATTACCGTGATTACGATTCCACGTCGCTAATTGAACGATCGCTGCGAGAGACACCGAGAGCGGAGCAATCAGGATGCCGTTTCTACCAAGTTTCATCGCGAGCGCGTTCACGTAAACACGCGACGTCTAACGGACGTCGAGTGGCCGTGGCGTTCTTTGGATCCCGAGGTTCTGCCGATGGCAGTACGTTATCGCAGACCACGGCTCGACGCAAAATTTCACTCTGGATATCTCAATGCGGCACAGAGGACATTACGCGCATTACGTTTTAGTTAAACGCCAATTTGCAATGGCGCACATCGTTTTCGTCGCGCGATACGAGGAAAGTTATTTTTATCAGCGAGCAGAAGTATCAGAGGATAAGCCTAAGTAGTTTCTCACGCTTCGGTCGGTTATCTTTCTTCCTACCGAATTTGAAGTCATTTAAAAGCGGCTGTTCATGGCAAACAGCGTCGGTGACAAAAAATTGTGATTGTTGCCTTCGAGAGTATTATGTCACATGTTATGAACTAGTCGTAACAATGACTATTGAAACATATAAGAAGAAAATACACTTTATTTTGAGAAATTTGTGGTAATCAGAATTATATTAAAGAGATTGAGTGCAACGTATCAAGATTTTTTCTTTTCTCGAAGAAATTTTGACAAAACTGTATTTTAATATATGTTTTTACGATAGTTATTCTTAAGACGAATTTAAAGGCGATTAAAGAGCATTTGAGTTTTAAAAAATATTAGTAGGAATGAATTTTTCAATTTTCAAAGTTATTTTCCTGGAGAAAGAGATCTCGCGCCAACTATACACGGAAAGAATATTGTAATAAAAATTGCGTTAAAATTATATTTTTTACAATGTTTTTTGTAAAGTTGGATTATTATAACAAAATTGTAGTGAAAATTATTATGGAAATAGTAAATTTGACGATCTACCTGATATACGATATAAAAAAAGCAATTACAATAACTTTGTAGTCAAAAGTGCATAATATTTTTATACGAGTATATAGTAGTTTCGATCATAATTCTATGGTCCGAGATTGTAGAAATTTTGTTGTAATTTTTGTTACGATATTTTCTCCGTGTATCTCTGATTTATTAATTTCACGAAAAAATTACATTTCACACCCGATAACACCGTGTCTCGCGTCATATATTGTGTACGAGACAAAGATGTCGAGAGGTTTGAAATGTCCACGAAACATTAAACTTATTCCGACTCCCTGCTCTGTCTCCACCCTCTCATGAAACATGGAGTAACGTAAAGTCGCGAAAAGATTCACGTCAGCGGGGTGGTGGTCTATTAGGCACAAACTTACGCGTGTAGGTAGTTTCTCGGTGAGCTTTACACTTTCCATTATTGCGAGTCGCGCGCACAGCGCATAACACGTGTCCCCGCGCACTCCCACGATCTCGACGTGCACGTGCACGAGGGAACGTCGCGGTGATACTTCCTCGATGACGTGTAGTAGTGCCAGAAAAAAGATATCATTGCAAAGTTGTCGGGTCCCTCGGTCGTCGTCGTCGCGAGCAATTGAAACTCCTCACCCCCACCGTCGATCACCCTTTGCTGCCCCCTCCACTCGCCCCAGCGCCCTTTAGCCTTCTCTTTCTCCTCTCACTCCCTTGAAGCGCGACTTATCTACCTCACCCTATTCCACGAAGTTATGATCGCGGTTGTAGTGGTGGTAGTGGTTGCGCGCCGCACTTTTCGTAGCAAAGAAAATAGAGCCTGATGTCGAGGGCGGCGGGCGAGCAAAGCGAGAAAAAAGAAAATGAAACAGATAGAGAGGGAAGGAGTGACGAGCGAGCGAGTAAGCGAGTGAGTTGCTCTTCCGCGGCGATAGGTAAGCCAACGCGAGGCGGGCAGGTATATCGGGTCTGAATGGAGACGACAGCAAACTATAATAGCCGAGAATAGAGCACGCGCCCGCAACGAAAGGGTGAGCATATACGCTTACATATTTCATGTGCGACGCATACAGGTGCTAAAGCGCGCACTCGTGTTCGTATGTACGTGGATTACGGCCACACCAACGGCAACGTCGGACGCGCCCTTTGCGAGTGTGTATGTACGCGCGGGGGTGCGCGCTGACGTATCGTCCGGATTAAATCTTTCTCGCTCTTTGCCTTCGATCTTCGATTAATACGCTTTCCCCGGTCTCGCGAACATGCGTCGCATTTGCTTCTCTAATTTGCGTCATTAGAGTACCGACGAGAACAGACGCGAGGATTACACAAAGCCCATGTCACACTACGGATTAGAGATGAAGGATTGTGAATTGAAGATTAGATTTTGACGAATCAACGAACTTCGGTCTTGTGGCTCGCTTTGTTCCAATTGGTCAAGTTTCAATTTTTAATCAGCAACACTCTGTCTCTAATAGTGTGACATAGTGTGACGTGGGCTTTAGACGTTACGAGAGTTCAATAGTACGGTCTGAGTGTTTGTTGCCGCTAATTGTCACTCTCTTAAAATGAATCAAACATCACTGAAAATAGTGAATATACACTGATTGCAGTTATAAATATAGCACTGAAAGTGCTCAGTGCTATACTTATAACTGATATCAGTGACTATTCACTTATTCGCTTTAAGAGAGCAATGTGTGGCTGTTCATAGGTGAATGAAGACTGACGAGAGTTTATTTTGTCGAAAATTTGGACTTAGTATCAACTCAATGCAACATATTTGCTTCATAAATGTAACACAAATGTAAAATTTCCATTACCGATTGTCTCACGTCGTGATACTTAAGAAAGCCTGTCTATCCGAGTCGAAATTTTGGCCGTATATTAAACCTTGAATTTCAATGCAATAGGAGCTAAGTTAGCAAAGCAGGTTTAATTCCAATGATACAATTTACTCCTACTTTGATTCTGATAATGTTTCTCTTTTTATTTTCTTTAGGATCAAAATTAAGATAACTAGATTTCCCAGCTCTGAATTCGGGACACTTCATAAATGTGTGAAGCGGGGGGGGGGGGGGGGGGGGGAAAAA